ATTTATTGTTAAAACATGTTGATAATATAACTTTGATAACTCACTGTTGTATTAATGAATAATATGATTTAGTTTTCTGTGGCGTATCGAGTACTGACATTCAACTTAGATTAAACATTAAAAATGTATTGTTTGGTCCTTTTTCTACAAAAAAGTGCGACATTAATGTTGTCCTTTCTGTATTTTATTTATTTTTCTATTAAATTTATTTTATTATCATTGTTTTTCGTTTTGACCTCGTTCCCGTCATTGAATTCTTATGTTCTTAACATTTTGTAAATAAAGTTTAAAATGAGCATTGACAACAGTTTTCGGTAAAAACAAACATTAAGCGGAGTTTAACTAAACTTCATGAAGCCGATTTAAAGTCTAGTATGTAAAGACCGTAAATCTTTATTTATGTCTCTTCTCACAGCTCGGTGAGTCAGAACACGGATCGGGATTTACTTAAACCAGCACATTTTTATACAGGGTCTGGTCTCTGGAGGAGGAGGTTTAGATTCTTCTGTTGGCGGGTTAAAGATTTATGAAGTTTAATAAACCTCAGTGACCTCCAAACACTGCGAGTTTGTGTTCTTACCGTCAACTCAACGACGTCTCCAACTTAACAACAACAAATCCAAATTCACCCGCCGAATAACTTCCTCTTCTTCTTCCTGCTCCTCCTCTTCTTCTCTTCTTCTTCTTCTTTGTTGGGTTTCCATGGCAGCTGTTTTTACTGCCACCTGCTGGATGTCTGGACTTTTTACACGCTGAGGTTCCTCTCAGTCGATCGTTAAACTTTTATTCTGTTAAAAACGTTTTACAAAAATGAACACATACTTTTAGAGAAAAGATGTTCTTCTAATTCTTCTTCTTTAAAGGGTAGCAGCAGCTTCAGTGTTGGATCACTGAAGCTGCTGGTGAAAGAAGCTCCTACAGTTTCTATTAAGAAAAAAAAAAACTTTGGATCGAATTCAGAGATAGAAAATACATATATATATATAAACACACATCATAAATAACGTATCTTTTATATAAAAGTGTGTTTATGTAAGTATTTCAATCCTTGGTGTTCAAAGTACTTACATCACGTTCATTTACTCGTTTAAGTCAGTCCAAATTTAAAGTACTTCTTTATTTGAGTCATTTTATTTTTACTTCATGTAATAATACATCACGTACACATAATAAACAGGTTAATCTCTAGTTTATAAAGGCTGCAGATTTGACTGATTAACACATTCATACATCAATAAATATAATAAGTAGATTCATTAATATGTTAGTAATATAATGTATTATCTAATATGATACATTTATTTTTACAATGAATATAATATAATAGTGTTAATATATTTATGATATAAATATAGACTAAAGCTTCTTAGAGAGTCAGAGGAGTTTATTATTATACAACTCTTAAGATGCCAACCACCTTAAACAACCAACGAAGAAGAAGGAGATGACCCATAAACAGAAGAAGAGTGTGTATTATTATAGTATTGTTGATGTGTTGCTTTAAGAGGTTGTGGTACAGCTGTTTTTGTAGTCTGTCTCCTGTCTCCTGCCCAGGGACTACAGATGTACATTAGCGTGTAGCTAACTCTAGTACAGGTAATAGGCTGTACACTGTCCCTGTTAAATAAACAAATAAATAAATAAAAGGGAAACATGTGTTATGTCCTGCAGTAGACTGTAAAACGCCTTGTAGCGTCTAAACTTACTGAGAACAAGAAGAAGCAGTGCGCATGCCCATAAAAGTCACTTGTCTCGGCTTCTCCCATTGGCTGGCAGAGCTATGCGCTCAGGGCGTGCACTCTGTTTATCAGACAAATGTTCAGCATCCTGACAAAAAGCGACGTTTATAAAGTGCAGAGTTCGCTGTGATGTGAGTAAAACCGGCCGGTATCTGTTCGGTGTTTGTCCGGTAAACCTAGCTCTGTGTGCAGGATAACCGAATAATGTGGAAACGTAATGTTATACTGTTAGCATCTGTTAGCTTCTCTGTTAGCTTTGTTACGTTTAATAACTCCAATGTGTTTGAATTGTGTTTCTAGTTTATAAACGATCTAATGTGGCTAACGCTAGCTTCTGAAGCCTGTTGTTTGATGACTCTGCTCTGCAGGGATTACACCGCCTGATCTTATTAACACAACAGAAGAAGAAAACAGCTGATCTTATTAACACCACAGAAGAAGAAAACAGCTGATCTTATTAACGCCACAGAAGAAGAGGACAGCTGCGCTTATTAACACCACAGAAGAAGAGGACAGCTGATCTTATTGACACCAAAGAAGAAGAAGAGGACAGTCCTAGAACCACTTCCTGTCTGATGTGAATCTTTACTAATGGTCCTGCTGTAATCTGACAGGTAGACAGACAGCTAAAAAGACAGGTAAACAACAGGTAAACTGTCAGGATGGACTGGTAGACTGTCAGGTAGGCTAACAGGTATGCATTTGGTTACAGGTTGAGATGGGGAACAGTGCTCTGAAGTCTCACCTGGAAACGTCCCAGAAGACTGGGGTTTTCCAGCTGACATCGAAGGGGCTGCAGGAGGTGAGACTCACCTGTGCACTCTATTGCAGTTCTCACATGATCACTTCCTGTACTATCTGTAACATTGTAGTTTCTACATGATCACTTCCTGTGTGATAACTGTGCTGTATGTGACGTTGTAGTTTCTATATAATCGCTTGTAGTTTCCGGAGGAGCTACAGAGACTCACAGGGAACCTGCGGATGGTGGATCTATCTGGAAATAAGATTGAGGTTCTTCCAGCCGCCATCGGAAACTTCCTGCAGCTGAAGAGTCTGACCCTGAACTCGAACAGACTAAGTGAGTCAGAAGAGCTGACACTAACTAACTACAGCTGACTAACTAACTACAGGTGACTCTAACTAACTACAGCTGACTCTAACTAACTACAGCTGACTCTAACTATCTACAGCTGACTCTAACTATCTACAGCTGACTGACTAACTACAGCTGACTGACTAACTACAGCTGACTGACTAACTAACTACAGCTGACTAACTAACTACAGCTGACTGTAACTAACTACAGCTGACTAACTATCTACAGCTGACTAACTATCTACAGCTGACTAACTAACTACAGCTGACTGTAACTAACTACAGCTGACTGTAACTAACTACAGCTGACTAACTATCTACAGCTGACTAACTAACTACAGCTGACTCTAACTAACTACAGCTGACTCTAACTAACTACAGCTGACTCTAACTAACTACAGCTGACTAACTAAAGCTGACTCTAACTAACTACAGCTGACTCTAACTAACTACAGCTGACTAACTAACTAACTACAGCTGACTAACTATCTACAGCTGACTAACTAACTACAGCTGACTGTAACTAACTACAGCTGACTCTAACTATCTACAGCTGACTAACTAACTACAGCTGACTCTAACTAACTACAGCTGACTCTAACTAACTACAGCTGACTAACTAACTACAGCTGACTCTAACTAACTACAGCTGACTCTAACTAACTACAGCTGACTAACTAACTACAGCTGACTAACTAACTACAGCTGACTCTAACTAACTACAGTTGACTCTAACTAACTACAGCTGACTCTAACTAACTACAGCTGACTAAGTAACTAACTACAGCTGACTAACTAACTACAGCTGACTAACTAACTACAGCTGACTCTAACTAACTACAGTTGACTCTAACTAACTACAGTTGACTCTAACTAACTACAGTTGACTCTAACTAACTACAGCTGACTAACTAACTAACTACAGCTGACTAACTAACTACAGCTGACTCTAACCAACTACAGCTGACTCTAACTAACTACAGCTGACTAACTAACTATCTACAGCTGACTAACTAACTACAGCTGACTCTAACTAACTACAGCTGACTAACTAACTATCTACAGCTGACTAACTAACTACAGCTGACTAACTATCTACAGCTGACTAACTAACTACAGCTGACTGTAACTAACTACAGCTGACTCTAACTAACTACAGCTGACTCTAACTAACTACAGCTGACTCTAACTAACTACAGCTGACTCTAACTAACTACAGCTGACTCTAACTAACTACAGCTGACTAACTAACTACAGCTGACTCTAACTAACTACAGCTGACTCTAACTAACTACAGCTGACTAACTAACTACAGCTGACTCTAACTAACTACAGCTGACTCTAACTAACTACAGCTGACTCTAACTAACTACAGCTGACTCTAACTAACTACAGCTGACTAAGTAACTAACTACAGCTGACTAACTAACTAACTACAGCTGACTAACTAACTACAGCTGACTCTAACTAACTACAGTTGACTCTAACTAACTACAGCTGACTAACTAACTAACTACAGCTGACTAACTAACTACAGCTGACTCTAACCAACTACAGCTGACTCTAACTAACTACAGCTGACTAACTAACTATCTACAGCTGACTAACTAACTACAGCTGACTCTAACTAACTACAGCTGACTAACTAACTATCTACAGCTGACTAACTAACTACAGCTGACTGTAAGTAACTACAGCTGACTGTAACTAACTACAGCTGACTCTAACTAACTACAGCTGACTCTAACTATCTACAGCTGACTAACTAACTACAGCTGACTCTAACTAACTACAGCTGACTCTAACTAACTATAACTAACTACAGCTGACTCTAACTAACTACAGCTGACTAACTAACTAACTACAGCTGACTAACTAACTACAGCTGACTCTAACCAACTACAGCTGACTCTAACTAACTACAGCTGACTAACTAACTATCTACAGCTGACTAACTAACTACAGCTGACTCTAACTAACTACAGCTGACTAACTAACTATCTACAGCTGACTAACTAACTACAACTGACTCTAACTAACTACAGCTGACTCTAACTAACTACAGCTGACTAACTAACTATCTACAGCTGACTAACTAACTACAACTGACTCTAACTAACTACAGCTGACTCTAACTAACTACAGCTGACTCTAACTAACTACAGCTGACTAACTATCTACAGCTGACTAACTAACTACAGCTGACTGTAACTAACTACAGCTGACTGTAACTAACTACAGCTGACTATAACTAACTACAGCTGACTCTAACTAACTACAGCTGACTCTAACTATCTACAGCTGACTAACTAACTACAGCTGACTCTAACTAACTACAGCTGACTCTAACTAACTACAGCTGACTAACTAACTATCTACAGCTGACTAACTAACTACAGCTGACTGTAACTAACTACAGCTGACTCTAACTAACTACAGCTGACTATAACTAACTACAGCTGACTCTAACTAACTACAGCTGACTCTAACTATCTACAGCTGACTAACTAACTACAGCTGACTCTAACTAACTACAGCTGACTCTAACTAACTACAGCTGACTAACTAACTAACTACAGCTGACTAACTAACTATCTACAGCTGACTAACTAACTACAACTGACTCTAACTAACTACAGCTGACTCTAACTAACTACAGCTGACTAACTAACTATCTACAGCTGACTAACTAACTACAACTGACTCTAACTAACTACAGCTGACTCTAACTAACTACAGCTGACTCTAACTAACTACAGCTGACTAACTATCTACAGCTGACTAACTAACTACAGCTGACTGTAACTAACTACAGCTGACTGTAACTAACTACAGCTGACTCTAACTAACTACAGCTGACTCTAACTATCTACAGCTGACTAACTAACTACAGCTGACTCTAACTAACTACAGCTGACTAACTAACTAACTACAGCTGACTAACTAACTACAGCTGACTCTAACTAACTACAGCTGACTCTAACTAACTACAGCTGACTAACTAACTATCTACAGCTGACTAACTAACTACAGCTGACTCTAACTAACTACAGCTGACTAACTAACTATCTACAGCTGACTAACTAACTACAACTGACTCTAACTAACTACAGCTGACTCTAACTAACTACAGCTGACTCTAACTATCTACAACTGACTCTAACTATCTACAGCTGACTCTAACTAACTACAGCTGACTCTAACTATCTACAGCTGACTCTAACTAACTACAGCTGACTAACTAACTACAGCTGACTAACTAACTACAGCTGACTCTAACTAACTACAGCTGACTCTAACTAACTACAGCTGACTAACTAACTACAGCTGACTAACTAACTACAGCTGACTCTAACTAACCCTAGCGCCTGACTATTTTAGATCTTTTTTTTTTCAGGCACACGCTCGCGACCCACTTAAAACAGCTATGCAACCCACTTTTGTGTCCCCACCCAACAGTTGAGAACCACTGCTCTAGAGCTCATCCCGAAGCCTGTAGTCCTGCAGCCTCTAGAGTTCACTTCCCTGACCCTAACCCCTCTCTTGATGTTTTGTGTCCTCAGCCAGCATCCCCGCTGAGATCTCTAAGCTGAAGAAGCTGGAGACTCTGATCCTGAATGGGAACCGGATTCAGCAATTTCCCCCCACCCTGGGCCAGCTCAAAGCTCTGCGGACCCTTAGCCTTTCAGGGAACCAAATCTCACAGTTTCCCTCTGGACTTGGAACCCTGAGGCAGCTGGACCTGTTGGACCTGTCCCGCAACCATATTCAGAACATCCCTTCAGAGGTGTCAGAGCTGCAGGCCATTGAGATAAACCTCAACCAGAATCAGGTACCTGAGTCCCTTCAGAGGACTGAGAAACACCACGTACAGTAAGAATCTGAGCCTGAGTTACTCCTGGAGGACATTTAACCCTAACCCTAACATGCTTTATCACCCTCTTCCAGATCTCTGTGCTGCCTGCAGAAGTGTCCCGATGCCCCCGTCTGAAGGTCCTTCGTCTGGAGGAGAACTGTCTGGAGCTGTCCTCCATCCCTGGGTCCATCCTGAAGGACTCCCAGGTGTCTCTGTTGTCAGTGGAGGGAAATCTGTTCGAGGTGAAGCAGCTCAGAGATCTGGAGGGCTACGAACAGGTCAGACCTCATCCTGTCTCACAGAGACTGATAATTAGAGGATACTAAATAGATAAAGCGAAGTATCCTTGCCCCCAAATCGATCGATTCAATATTATGGGAAAGTCCTCCTCATCCTGCCTGTGTTCTTGATCACAGTATTTCAAATGAGTTAGGGTTAGGGTTAGCTAGGAGTTTTAGCTCGCTTTCAGCTCGAGTTTTAGCAGCCGTTACTGGTTGTGGCTGTAGATGCATTCATGTTGGTTTCGAACACACGTAAAAACGTCTTTCTGAGTTGGAAAATACAAAACGTGCTCAGTTCAGAACAACACTTTCACACCACCCACTACCAAACAAACTATCAGACAAAGCGCACCAGAGTTAGTTTCAAACAGACCAAAGAGCTTAATTGTGAAAGCACCCATTCCCCTGCTGGCCGGCACGGCCCACGGTCGCACTGCTCCAGGACTAACCGGGCCTAAGCGTGGTTACCTCTTGTACACAACGTCATAATACAGCACATGCAAGGCTTTATGTTATTATGAAGAGTGCTCAGTTTACAAACAGACGGACTCGAGAGGAAAAAAAAAAAAAGGGATGCTCTGTCGAGTCTGCGTGTGCATATCAGAGAACATGACAGCTACTTCACTGACTTTGTGTCTTATTCTGATTCATGTTAGTCAGATACAGACTGAACACTCCATTATGATTTCTCCATAATGAAGGCTTTGCACATTTAGTACCTGCGTGTTTGTGCTCGTGTCTGAACTGTACCGTGCCGAAGCACACCTTTCCGAAGCGTCCCAGGGCCGAGGAAGTGGACTGGGCCTGAGCACGGTACAGAGCGGTCACACTGGTCAAACGAGCTGACCTTTAGGGGTGGAGCGTGCTTGGGCACGGTACAGAATGCCAGTGTGACTGCGCCCTAAGTGACTTTGTCGTTAAAGCGTTGTCCTCAGGTTGTTATTAAAATCATTCTGTGTGCCCTTGGCTGATATTCTTGTTGCCATGGTAATAAACATGTATTGATCTTGTTAAATGTTTACCTCATATTTAAGGAGTTTGAAATTCTGGTTTTGTAAAATCCCTTTATTCTGAAACATTTGAGTGCAAATCCTGAAGGAAACAATTTTTACTCAACTGAACTGTACCCTCAGCTCCACTTCAAATATTCAAAATTAATGATATGGATCCACTCGTGAGGTCCACCTGAAGGTCTCTAATGGACTCTTCTGGTCTTTTTAGTCTATAATGGTCTCTGATGGTCTCTATTGGTCCCTATTAGTCTCTGATGTTCTTTGATGGTCTCCATTGGTTTCCTATGGTCTGTTCTTTCTGCTTTCAGTATATGGAGCGTTACACGGCCACCAAGAAGAAGTTTACCTGATGACTGCAGCGAGTCTGAACCTGAAAGCGGCACACAGTGGCGGAGTCAGTTGAGACTCTGCCCATGCTGATGTTTCTTCTTCTGACGTCACTCAGCCAGGACAACAAACCCCGCCTCCTGCAACCACCATCCCTAAGATCTCCTGACCCCCTGTGACTTCAGAGAGAGAGAGAGAGAGAGAGAGATGCAGACTTTTGTTCCCATGGAAACAGATGGAACAAGGAATAAGAAGGATTTACCACAGAAGAGGAAGAGTTTGTCCAGCAGAAAGATCAGACAGAAACTTTGACATAATGTTTGTGTTCTTAAATTATTTTCTGTAACATTTAATCTCATTTAAAACAATTAAAACTCTTCAGTCTTCAGTCTTTAACGTACAATAACAGAAATCTGTGTTGATGTGATTTGCAGTTTAGTTTGATATAATTCACTTCCTCTTTATTACCTTCACCATCATCATCATGTCCTACTCTGTAAAAAACTAAACTTTGTTGTCGATTTGAATGTGAATATTACTGACCTCTGATGGAAACAAATTACTTTTTGAAAATATAACACTAAACTAACAAATTAGGAATTAATAATCCTAACCTACAGTTTTGAAGATTGTTTCATCACAGGTTATAAAACAATAATGATCAACTTTTACATGATTATCAATGATCTGTATAATCTTGATTCTTTGTTGTGGTGTCATCATTGTTTTACATGAGATCTGACACGCCACCAGATGGCGGTCATACACAATATACGACTCTCTCTCTCTCTCTCACACACACTCACACACACACCTCTGAGAGTAAATCCAATAAAGGTATAGTCATAGAATTAAAGCTATGATTATATTTTATTTTTCTAAAACGGTTGGTGACAGTGTAGAAATAATTTAGCAAACATTACGGTTCAGTTACTCCGAATATTACGGTATAGTTAAGGTTCAGTTACTCCGAATATTACGGTACAGTTAAGGTTCAGTTACTCCAAACTTTAGGGTTTGAATTTAGAGTTATATAAGAAGAATCAAATATTTTAAATCCTAAAAATGATTTATGTAATGTATTATGTACAGTGGAGGAAATAATGATTTGATCTCCTGCTGATTTTGTAAGTTTGCCCGATTTCAAAGAAGTGAGAGGTCTATAATTTTTAAGGTAATTTTATTTTAACAGAGACAGAATATATTTTTTAAAAGTCCGGAAAAAAAACCACTGAGCCACTCCTTTGCTGCCTTGGCCGTATGTTTCGGGTTGTTGTCATGCTGGAAGACCCATCCAAGACCCATCCTCAGTGCTCTGGCTGAGGAAAGGAGGTTCTTGTTCAAGATACTTGTCCCCATCCATCGGCCCATCAATGCGGTGAAGTTGTCCTGTACCCTTAGCAGAGAAACAGCCCCAAAGCATAATGTTTATACCTCATATGCTTGACGGTGGGGACGGTGTTCTTGGGTTGGAATTTAGCATTTCTCTCCCTCCAAACACAACAACTTTGAGTTTATGCCAAAGAGTTGAATTTGGTCTCATCTGACCACATCACCTTCTCCCAAGCCATCTCTGAATCATTTAGGACCTAAATGATTCAGAGATGGCTTGGCACCTAAATTTTAGGTGTTCATTGGCAAACTTCAGACGGGCCTGTACATGTACCTTCTTGAGCAGGGGGACATTGCGGGCACTGAAGGATTTAAATCCATTACAGCACAGTGTTACCAATGGTTTTCTTGGTGACTGTGGTACTAGCTGCCTTGAGATCATTACAAAGCTCCTCCCGTGTAGTTCTGGGCTGATCACTCACCCTTCTCATGATCATCCTTACCCTACAAGGCGAGATCTTGCATGGAGCTCCAGACAGAGGGCGATTGATGGTTATTTTATATTTCTTCCATTTTCCTATAATTGCACCAACAATTTTCTCCTTCTCACCAAGCTTCTTGCTGATGGTCTTGTAGCCCAGTCCAGCCTTGTGCAGGTCTACAATCCTGTCCCTGATGTCCTTTGAAAGTTTTTTGGTCTTGCCCATGGTGGTGGATTGGTTGGAAGGGAAGAGATTGATTCTGTTGACATGTGTCTTTTTTACCCATAACGAGCAGTGATTGGAAGTACTCTCTTAAAGTGTCAGGACCAATCTGAGTGCCTCCCGGGCACATAACTGGTCTGTGGGAGCCAGAATTCGTGCTGGTTTGTAGAGGATCAAATACTTATTTCCTTCAATAAAATGCAAATTAATTTATAACTTTATACAAGGTTTTTTTCTGGACTTTTTTTTTTTGATATTCTGTCTCTGTTTGTTAAAATAAAGGTACCATAAAAAATATAGACCGGTCACTTCTTTGTAATTGGTCAAACTTACAAAATCAGCAGGGGATCAAATAATTATTTCCTCCACTGTAACTGAATATACTATGCTAATATTTAAGTTCTGATACACACTTTTTAATGAATTACTTTAATACAATTAACACAATTTAAACAACATATATGCCGGCGCTTTTATTGTGAAGCCTCTTCCGCTGTGTGTGTGTGTGTGTGTGTGTGTGTGTGTGTGTGTGTGTGTGTGTGTGTGTGTGTGTGTGTGTGCGTGTGTGCGTGCGCGTGCGCGCGGAGGGGGGGGGGACTTGTTCAGAGGAATCTGCGGAGCGATGGGTGAAGTGTTTACGGTGTGAGAAACAAACTTTCTGCGTGTTTCTGCTTCGAGAATAAACTCAGAACTTTGATTCATCTTCTCCTTAGTTTACTCAGAGTCCAGTCGCTCCACCAAACCAAACATCTGCGGAGTTTCTCGCGTTGTAAGCTCCAGTTAGGAGACTGTTTGTGAAGCTGAAAATGAGACTTCAGTGAGGGGTTGGGGACCGAGCCGAGCCGAGCTCCCCCTGTGAAAGTCACCGAGGGGTTGGATCCTCGGACAGAAAGAATGAGAGCATGAAGCGGATTCTGTGGATTGTCGTGTTTTTCCTGCAGAACTTTGAAGGAGGCTGTGAGAGCGGTGAGTTTCTGCGATGAATCCGAGTTTTGTGTCTGTTCTTCGGTCACTTTTATTGACATTAACCTCTCTCCCTATGTGGGACACATCGTCAAGTGAACATGACTTCATGCTAAAGTTAAAAAAGTTCTGCCATAAACCTGAAATAAATCCTGAACGATCCCGTCCACTTTCCGGCTCACAGCAGAGTGTTGTTGAGGGCTACTCACTCCGAGGCTGCTGGGAGCAGATTAAATATGTACATTAAAGGCTCTGTCAATTACAATTTACTGAAATGATGCCAGAATCACCCACAGACTAGTGTGACGTGACGAAGTCCTGAACGGTGTCTCCTCCGAGTTCCAAAAGTCTAAAAACAGCGAGTTTCTGAATTCTTGTCCTTTTCTAAATGAGTTTGGTTCAGAGCGGCTCACTGAAGTTTAGCAGCTCCGACTGGGCAAAGTGCAGAGTTACACATGATCCCAACTGGTATGCAGGTAAAGATTTTACCTTCAAATCCACGAGCTGCTTTGGTGACACTCTCAGTTAATATAAAAGGTCATAAATATATTGGTAGAGATGTGTACAATAATTAGGCTACATTATTATATAGTTATTAGTGAATTTAATCATCTAACAGACTACCTCGATTATTAATTCAACTCTTTTTATTCTTTGATCTTTTTAATAATCTTTAAAGAAAATAGACATTTAATTTATATTTAAAAAAATTATTCACGTGAAAAGTTGTTTTTAATCAACAGTGTTAAGGAGTTTGAGTTTAATGAGGTCACCTTCATAAGAGGTCAGGGTTCACATGTCATTAGAGGACCTGCAGACAGGAGGTCGGAGGTCAGACGGTTCAGCAGCATGTTGATATTTGGGGAGAAAAGTTAGAAAAATACAAATTCTTTGTATCATATGATTAATCAACACTTTTAACAGCTGTTTAAATGCATTATGGGTAATGTAGTCTGCAGCTTTGAATAAGGTAGAGGACGGGAAAAGGAATGTCTGAACCCACTCCTCACTTAATATTCAGCACTCATTGTATCCCACAATGCATTGTGAAAAGTGCAACCAATGGTCATAAGCCCATCAATAGTTCCCATTATGCATCATGTTAGCCTGCTGTCAGAAGGAGAAAGGTGCGAGCAACATGAACACAGAAACCCTTCAATGTGTTTGAATAAACGTGTTTCAAGAGACTGTGTTTCTTTCATTCAGTAATAATAATTATTATCATTTTGTGATAATCACTCAGTGTAATATTAGTTATCACTGAAACTCTCGCCCTGATTTAGTCAAAATCCCTGGCCGACGCTAAGCTGCAGCTTTTAGCCACAGAGAGGACATCATCGGAGTCCAGCGAGGACGAGCAGTCTGAAATATTTATTACTTATTGTGTATCATATTTGTTCACATTCTGCATTTTGCATTTTTGCATCATTTATCAATAATGAATCAATAGATTTATCAATAACAATATGGATATTAGGATCTTTAAATCAAGGATATTATTCTCAACGCGTCTGACTCAGCTGGTCCTGGTCCTCAGGTTGTGATTCAGGAACAGTTAAAGTTTTTGCTCATCTGTCTGAGACACTTCCTTCTCCCTCCCTCTCCTGCCCCATCCTACTTTCTCCCTCTCCTCTCCTCTCCTCTCCTCCCCTTCCTCTTCCTCCCTCCCTCTCCTCCTCCTCCTTCTCTTGCAGGTGTGATCTTCACAAAGAATCCGTCCAATCAGACAGTGTCTCAGGGCAACGCTGCACGGCTAGGCTGTGCCGTTCTCGGTGTTACAGAGCCCGAAATCGTTTGGATGAAAGATGGAGAAAAACTTTACAGCACGGATCAGATGTTCATCACGCTGGGAGAGACGCACTGGGAGACCTTCTACAGGTACACGGATACACCTGTCGATACATCAATCAAAACATTGATCAATCAAAACATCAATCAATCAACACATCAACTAATCATCACATCATCAACACATCAATCAATCAAAACATCAATCAACACATCAATTAATCAACACATCAATCAATCAACACATCAATCAATCAAAACATTGATCAATCAAACATCAATCAATCAACACATCAACTAATCATCACATCATCAACACATCAATCAATCAAAACATCAATCAACACATCAACTAATCATCACATCATCAACACATCAATCAATCAAAACATCAATCAACACATCAATCAATCAGCACATCGATCAACACATCAGTCAATGAACACATAAACCAATCAAAACATCAATCAAAACATCAATCAACACAACACTCAAAACATCAATCAAAACATCAATCAACACAACAATCAAAACATCAATCAACACAACAATCAACACATAAACCAATCAAAACATAAATCAAGACATCAATCAAAACATCAATTATTCAACACCTCAATGTAAACATCAATCAACACATCAATTACTCAACACCTCAATCAATCAACACATCAATCAAAACATCAATCAACACATCAATGTGGGGCATTACCCCTGCTGTCGACCCTGGTGGTAAACCCTGCTGATGGGGCCCTTGGCAAAAAGTTATTGTGGTCCCTTCCAACCATGGGGCCCCCAAGCAGTTGCCTGCCTTGCCTGTTGACAAGCAGCACCTCTGCCTGTTGTTAGCTCTTTTCAGACTGCTTTTTTCTCAAAAGTGCCGTAACTAAGCTCAGTCATCATCACGTCTTTGTACATTCATGCTGATTCTGCAGCGTAATATCGGTGTCCCTGTCTGTGAGGTCACATTGCATTTCGGTGTTGTTGAAGCACGGCACAACGGGAGCTCCACATACACACACAGTCAGACATGCACACACAAACAGCGCTGTTCTCCCCTGCTGGCTTAGCTGATCCCATCGGATCCCATCTCTCCTCTTTAACGCCTCCGTTACTACCTTATGAAGACGGTACAGAGGGGGTATCACTATGTCCCCAGTCACAGGGGCATATTGTAAACATTTCCACTATGGCCTGGGTTAGGTTAAGTATTCAGACCCTCTACCCAGTACTTAGTTAAAGAACCGTTGGCAATGATTACAGCATCAAGTGTGCTTGGGAATGATGCGACATGTGGATTTTCTGGATGATTGGGGGCCGGCTGTGGACAGCTGTTTTCAGGTCCCTTCAGAGATGTTTTTTAAAGATTTATTTTTGGGCTTTTCATGCCTTTAATGCAGAGATAGGACAGTGGATAGAGTTGGAAACCAGGGAGAGAGAGCGGGGAATGACATGCGGAAAGGAGCCACGGGTGGAAGCAAACCCGGCCTACCGCTCGAGATGAGAGTCTCAACACATGGGACGCGCGCCCTAACCATTGCGCCACCAGCGCGCCCCTGTTCGATTGGATTTTAGTCAAGACTCTGGCTGGGCTACTCAAGGACATTCACTCAGTCATCCCTAAGACACTCCTCCTGCATTATCTTGGCTGT